TCTCGGCAGGCTGAGCAGCGCCACCGTCAGGCACGGCAGTCTGAGCAGCGACGCCACGAGGAACATGAGGCTGAGCAGCGCCAGGCTCAGGCACGGCAGGCTGAGCAACGGCGCGTGGTGGACCGACATAGGTGGGCTCATCGGGTCGGCCGTTCTTATGGTAATGCAGGCGCATGGCTGAACCGTCTGCACGACGGAACTCGAAGAAGTGCCTGCCGTGGCCATCCGTGGTGGAGTAGTTAGGGTCGCGCTCTGTCTCGATGATGCGAAAGAGAACCTGGGCGATGCCCTGCCCGATTATGCGCTCAGCGAAACCCGGAGCGGCAGACCGAAGCAGTTGCTTCCAGTCGTAGGACGGGTCGTTTGTGACGTCTTTGAACGACAAGTTGTTGACAATGCACTCGGCGCGCAGCGCGCGCTGCCACTGGCAGGCGGTCTTGCCGCCCATCCCTGGTGTACGGCGGATGTCTTCGAGGTGAGCCTGCTCAAAGACCACGGCGACACCTGGCTGAGGAGTCGGTGCGGGCGGATCCGGCAGAATCTCCCACGGGCCATCGCACGGGGCCGGGGGTGGCGGGGCGATGCCTTGCCGCGTGCTGGCATTGTGACAAGGCAGGCTGAGGAGCACCGCCGCGGCTGGACGGCCAGGTGAAACTCGAGCAAACATGGTTAAGGATGATGATGATGGTGTTGATAGGAAACCCGGTATCAGCGAGTTGATGTACAATGAGGTGTCCGCAAACGAGACACTGCTGTCAACGCTGTTATAACTAACCACAAACGAGACACTGCTATCAACGCTTGCACAATTAAAAAGAAACGCTGGCATTGACACTACTAGCAAAACCAAAGTGGAGTTTAAACGAGGCACTGCCATCAACCGATTCAACTTCCAATAAAAGAAGATCACAAATGAGTTCACTCTGAAGTGACCCATGGCTATCAATGCGAGAAGTCTCTGCAAACTAGTCACTCATGGCGACCGCCGCGCACACGCGTGTAGGAAATCGTTGATGATGATAGTGGTAATGGAGTGGGGGCCAGTAATGCAGATACACTGCTGTGCACTCACTTGCTGCGAAAAGAAACTCTGTATGAATGAGTTGATATATAATGAGTTGTCCACAAACGAGACACTGCTATCAACGCTTGTATAAGTAAAAAGAAACGCTGCTATCGACACTTCCCCCAATACTAAAGTTGTCTTTAAACGAGTCACTGCCATGAACGGCTTCAACTACAGTGTAACGAAAGGAACTGCAGGCTGAGAATCACCGCAGGCCAACGTGAACCAGTCGTGGTGATGAGGATGAGTGAAATCTGCGATGATGATAGCGATCATGAAGTCGGTTGTAGGAACCCACTTTTGTAGTAACCAACATACACTGGTATGCATTCACGTATGGTGAAAGGAAACTCGGCATCAGTGAGTTGATATAGAATGAGTTGTCCGCAAACGAGACACTGCTATCAACGCTTTTAGAACGAAGCGAACCCATCAGAACACTGTTATCAACGGAAAGAATGCTGTAGAAGGACAAAGCGCTGAATGTACACCGATGTGTTCGACGACTGCGTATGTAATGATGTGACGATATACAGACTGAGCCCTTCGTGAATGTCTACATTTTTTTCTGACGCCTACAAACGGCGCTGACGTGTGTGAGAAAATTGTCCGCGCAGCAAAAGCCGGCGAAGCGTGCAGACAGCCAGCTGCAAAAGGTTGCGAGCGGCTCTTGAAAGACGTTTACGGAACGGAGCTACGGTGTCTGAAAACATTGGCATCGAAGCGAAGAGCCTCGGAGCCCTGCAGCCTGAGAAACACCGCAGGAACTCGCATACTGAAAAGGAATGCATTGCAAACCGCACGTTGCGAACCCTGCAGGCTGAGAAGCACCGCAGGATGTCGCATGCTGAAAAGCAATTGTACTGCAGAGCGCAGGCTGCGAAACCTGCAGGCTGAGAAGCACCGCAGGAACTCGCATGCTTTCGAACACTACTGCTCGAGACCGCAGCTGGAGAGCGGCAGACCGCAGGCTGAGAAGCACCGCGGGCAGAGAGACTTGCAAAACTCTGATGTCCTGATCGTCTTGGAGGAAGTCACGCCAGTCCGGCGGCTGCCAAGAATCGATGATGCGCCTGGAGCCACCGCCCGTGCTGCAGCCGATGTCCAGGTAGTCGCCATCGCCCCTGAACAGACGGCCGTGCCCGCACGCCAGAATCGCTTGGTTGCGGATTTGAAGCAGCGCTCCGCTCTCAAACATCTGCAACACGTCCAGCTGCCTGCGCGTGAAGTTCGGCTTTGCCTGGCCAGCCTGGGCAGTCAGATGGAGGGAAAGCCGCTCCCCCTCGTTGTAGCGCGCGATGGCCTCGGCCTTCTGGTGGTGCAGCCGGCGCCGCTGTTGCCGCAGAGCTTCCTCGGGAACTGCTGCATCACGGCCCTCACTGTGATCAGCTTGCAACGCTTGCGTTAACCAATCAACGTCTAAGCGCCCTGAGAAGGCCAGCACCTCCCAGATCTGTTTAGTACCGGCCACACGTTGCAAATGGCGATGCCACCGCTTACGCTTCTGGTCTTTCACAAACTTGGCGACGCTACCCAGACCTGCACCCTTGGCCTGGCCACCTTTTCCCGCAGGCTGATAAGCACCGTGAGAACCTTTCTTACCGCCTGGCCCTTTGTTCGGACCCTGCGGAACCGCATGGCCCCCTTGTGGCGCAGACTTGCCTTTCGCTTTTCCCTTTTCGATATCCCGTTCCTGAAGCGCACGCTGCTGCCGCGACTGCTCGTACTGGTCGCGAGCTACACTGACCAATTCCTGGCGCTCAGGCTCCGTGAGAACGTAGCGCATGTCGTCGATGTTCTTGCTCCGCAGAAAGTCATGTCGAAGCTTAAGGACAGAGAGAATGGCTCGGCCAGTCTCCTCCTGAGACGCAAAGGCCGTGTCATATTCCGAGCCAGGCTGTGGAGCGCCAGCTGGATCAGTGTCCGCTGGCTCCGTGGACTTCCTCTTTTTGAAAAGCAAGAGACTGAGATGATGGAGGACTTTCGGATCGTACTCCTCGTCGTACCTTTCGTCCCAAATCTGCCTCAGCTCCCTGTGCAAGTCGTTCGCGCGATTCTGAACGACATCCTCGACGTAGTCGGGATCACCCGGTGAAGTCGGTGAAAGCGGAGGAGTAGAACTCGGCGACCGATCCCAATGCACAGAAGACTCGCGGTCCGCCTGTACGCTGACGTCGGCGTCGGAGACGTTTTCGACGACAATTTTCCGCCTCTTGCTCTCCCCAGGCTGAATAGCACCAGGGAGAGTGATCACAACCGCCACCGCATCGTGTGCGTCGTTGCGCATGCCACGATCCGTAAAAGACGCGCCAACGGCAATGGAGCAGAAACGGGCGACTGCTCCGCAGACCGCGACGTGGTCGCCTTTGAGGTCGGCCGGAGTTGCATGGACCTCCCATACCTTCTCGTCGTTCTGCTCGCGCTGGTAAGCCTCCCGCGCCTCCTGGAAAGTGAGGTTGTCGTCGCCGACTACAAGCACAACGACTGCCACGTTTAGATTCTCAAGAATCTTGGCCAGGCCGTCCAGGTGCAAGCGGAGATGGCGAACTGTCCGCTTTCGAGTCTGGATGCTCGGCGGTTTCTTGCCGCACACGATGTGCATGTTGGCGATCACCACGTGGAACTTGTCATGGCCTGGTTTGTTCACCTCAAAATGTGAAATAACAGCATCAATATCTCGGCCGCTAGGAGGCCTGTTAACTTTGCTGTCTTCGCACAGAGTCAGTTCCGCAGGCTGAGAAGCACCGCGGAACCCCCAGAGAGTCAAGTAGTTGTCGACCTCCGAGAAGCGAATGCCATCACCGAAAGGCTTACTGAGGATCTCTGTCACGATGATCCCTGCTCGGCGAAAGCCTTCACGGAACGCACCGACCTCGCAGCCACAGACCATATCAGCATCAGCGGTCTCCACTATCTTGGCGCACAACCTTCCGAAGTTAGCGCAGTGAGTGGCCGCCTGCTTACCAGTCATCATGCCCTGCTCGAACCCGAAATTGAACGAGGCGACCGTGAAAGACGCAGGCTGCACAGCGCCAGAACCAGGCGTCTGTCCACCTTCCTCCGCAGGCTGAGAAGCACCGCGAGGCGGCGCAGGCTGAGAAGCACCGCGAGGCGGCGACACTTCGGACGAGCCTCGCGGAGCAGAGGCTGCGGATGAACGTTGGACATGGGGGTACGGCCAGGGGAACGCCATTGCAATCAAAACTCAGTGGACTGCAGTGAATGAATGTAGTGGCCAATTGAATGCAGAGGACTGCAGTGTCACTAGCAAGTCCTGAACCAAACACAGCTGTGGCGGAAGGAATATGAAGCGTCTGGCTATTCAAAATGTTGCCCGGCAATGGAGTTCTGGGAACTCGAAGACCAGGAAGTGGACTAGAGTTGGCTCTGGGCATCCAAAAAGTAGCCCAGGAATGGAGTTCTGGGAACTCGAAGAGCACGAAGTGGCTTACAGTTGGCTCCGGGCATCCAAAATGTGGCCCGGGAATGGAGTTCTGGGAACTGGAAGAACACGAAGTGGCCTACAGTTGGCTCCGGGCATCCAGAATGTGGCCCGGGAATGGCGTTCTGGGATGTCGAAGAGCACGAAGTGGCCTACAGTTGCATCCGGCCCCCCAGAATGTGGCCCGGGAATGGCGTTCTGGGATGTCGAAGAGCACGAAGTGGCCTACAGTTGCATCCGGCCCCCCAGAATGTGGCCTGGGAATGGAGTTCTGGGAAGGCGAAGAGCACGAAGTGTGTGACTGTTGGTGAAAAACGAGCCCGGCTCATGCCGCCCGGAAACGCCCCAACACCTGCCCGGACCCCCCTGTGGAGTGATCTGTGAGCTCTTTTGAGACCACTAGAAACCTATCAGTCTTCGCTGTTAGGTAAAATCGCCTCTTCATTTCCCTGTGAACTGCTTCTACATCCCCGGTCATTTCTTGCCTCGCGACTCCTTCAAGTGCCTGCGTGGTAAACTGGACGTTGTCCTTTTCTCTTAGATCGTCGTTACCTGGCCAATCGCCCTGTGCTCTAACTGCAGGATCGCCCATCGGCATCTCGATCGAACGCTGCGGGAATTCCCGCTCCAGCCATCTCACTCACGAGCAGAGCCGAAGACCTTCTTGACGCCAGGTACCTGGGTAGGCGTGCTCACCAAAGACCCCCTCGACATTTCCCAAGATAACTCGTTGCCCATAGTTCCTGCTGACTGACCCATTCGCTGCGCTGTCATGTTGTTCGCTGTTGGAGGCCTCGTTCGGTTGAACAAGGAAGTTAGCTCCCACGCTTGGGGGTGCAACTGTATTGTATGCTCCAGATCATGTGTGGTTTAACACTGGAACTTCTTAAACCTCCCCATCAAATCCACTCATATGCGCTAACTCTAAATTTGCATTAACTTTGAATCAAACCTTTCTCGCGTTCACTGCAAAATGAAGATCTGCTGTCCCCAGCAGTACCATGGTTGCGTGTAGCGCCACACTCGCGCAACCCATCATTCTTCCTGGGCCCTGACCTTGCCTCCCTGTTCCTCCTCTTCGTTTTCTGGTACTGCGTCTCTTCCAGTCCTGGTCTCTCTTAACCAACTCCAGCGGTTTCGGTGCGTTTGTGGCGCCAGTGACCTCGCTCAGCTCAACACTGTAACATCCTGACCCCAGTAGCGGCTGTCGTAACAACTGGGTTGCCTCTCCTGGTCCTCCTGTGCCCATAGGTTGGGGGGAACTTCGTTGGCGCTCTTTGGGCAGAGGGCCGCGATGCGGCCCTTTTTCCCAACATTCGTAACACTCCCGCTCGTTAGTCGGCACGTGTCCTCTTTTACTTCCTCCTTTCCAACCTGAGGCTTGGACCCCTTGGTGACCTCCGTGGGTGTCTCCGTTGCTGCCTCCTTTGCTCGACCCTGCCTGGGTGACACTTGCTGCTTTGGTCTCCTTTCTTGCTTGTATCCTGCTTACATGCCCGGGTCACCTCTGGCACGTTTGTCATCCCTTTTTCCGCCTCCTTTCCTTTTCGGGGCCCCTTTGGTGGCGCAGTTCTTGGCGACGCGCCCGCATCATCGACACTTGTAACGCATGGGCCCTTTGTGTTTGCCCTTTCCTTTGCAAGACTCGCTCGTGTCTTTGTTTCTGGTCATGTCCTCTGCGTTCCAAGACCACCAGATCCCGCTCTCGAAGTACTAGCATGCCTCATCTCCGCTGGCGTCCCGATCGTCAGTGAATCATTATTTTTTTTCGCGTCGGCGTCTTCCTCGGCGAATCCCCACAGTTGACGAATTTTGCTGGTATGCGTCGAGTGTTATCGGCTCGCAGTCTTGAAGCAATATGCTGCCAGTCATCGATCAATTACCTGAATGAATCATACCGACCCTCAAGGCGGCAACTCGGAATGGCAGTGGTCACGAACAAGCAGACCCATATGTTCAGGGGGCTCTACCAACACACTCCGTTGTGCAAGTTGGATTGCCACATCGTCTAACTGATTGGAATTCCTCCTCCACCCCGATCCCTGTCCTCCTCGATCTTCTATCCTCCCGTCAATCCTCCTCGATCCTTTTTTTCTCGATCCTCCTTATCCTTCGCCCCCCTCCACCTACTCCTCCCCATAAAGCCACAGGATAAGGGTCTGCAGATTGCGAAGTGGTGGGGATGAAGACTATGACATGGATAAGTCAAGGATGCAGGGTTTTCACAACAAATAACTCATAAGGACGACCCACAACTATATGCAGGATAAGGGCGAGAGGATAAAGATGAGGATCTTGAGAGGCACATGGGAGGCTCCTGACAAGTGTCCAAGAAAGTCTTGCGACTTCACCCAACACAAAACAGGGGGCTGCTCGGGACTCCCTCAAAGCTTAGTCAACGTCGAAGCTCTCGATCAAGACTCCCTTCCGCATCACCCACAGAAACTCAAAAAAAATATCCTACTGGATAGAAGAAAACCAAGTAACGGAAAGCGTCCCGGATCCTGCAGCACTCCCACTGGAAACGTCCAAACAATTGAGCAGCACATGCCACGTTTTTTCCCCTGACTCCTGGAGGTCTGAGTCTCCTGCCGCCCCTTCCCCTCCTCCTCCCCCCCTCCTCGGTCCTCGGTCCTCAGTCCTCGATCCTCCTGCTCATCATCTTCGATCCACAAAGCTTTCCTCCTCCTCCTCGTCCTCCTCCTCGATCCTCCCCTTCGATCCTCCGCAGAAGAAGACCCGAGTGGAACGGATTCTGGCATCCGGGGGCTTCCCTGGGACCAGCTTTTCGTCCCGAATCGATTTTGAAGGATTCCAGAACCTGCGGAGGGCTCTTGAATGCTGACAGCGGGCAAAAACCTCAGGACCCTTTTCCCTTATGGCCCTTTTTGTTCATTGTGATCCTCCTCCTCCTCGTCATCTTTTGTCCTCCTCCTCCTCCTCCTCCTCCTGGATCCTTCACCTGCGACAGGGACTTCCAGTCCATGTTGGCGCTGGTGATCATGCCGCGGGTGTCGTCGAATATCCAGAACTCGCCCAGTGGTCGCTTAGCTACCCGAGGAAACTCCCTTGCAGACCAGCACAGAATTGTCTGCACTTGGTGTATTGTTGCCTTCTTGCGCATGGCGTTTCGTCTAACCTCTGGGCGCCGTGGCCCAAGAACATGACACGACGATCGAACAACACGCACCCATACCCATAGGGGGGACGGAGGAGGCTATGGGTGCGTGTTGTCGGATGGGGGTCCCCGCTCGAACGGGAGTTCCCCCCAGGGTCCGACAACTCGCACCCATACCCATAGCCAGTTCCCCTCTTTTCGACCCTCCTATGGGTATGGGTGTGAGTTGTTCGCTCGTCATGACAGCCGGTTTCCCCCAGATCTCGGCCTCTGGAGGCACGGTGACGGGCCCCGGGATCAGCAAGCAGCGGCCCATAGGATGAAGAGCGGGTCTCAAGCACGGGGTCGAGACGTCCGGGGTCACAGGGACAACCCAACAAGCCCTTTTGTCCAGACCGAAAGCTGATCGGCAAGGATCCGCCAATATTGGTCGTACTGCCTGTATTTGGGCACAGGGCGGGCTTGTTCGGCTACTCCAGATTTCGTAATAAAAGGGAGGGGGTCACAACCCTCCCAGACGAGAAGTTTTAGACCCCCCAGACTATCCATGAAAGGGCGGCCCTTTGCCCAGACCCCCCCGAACCCTCCAAGATAGCTCAAATTAGACCCCCCCCCCCCGAATGTGACCCCCCCCACTTTCTTATAGAATCCGGAGTGGGCCTCTTAGCATTCGGGTCCCTAAGCAAACATGGGCCTTCATGTGCTGTATGCCACCGCCGTACCAGGTCCGGGGGTCGTATATCTGGAACGAGATGAAATCTGGATATTCTCCTTGGAGGTCTTCAATCTCTCGATGGTCCTCTGAATGGTCGTCAAGTCCTGCTCCGCAAAGTGCACGGAGTTTGACGCCTCGTTCGGCCCCTCCTGCCTCCGCCTCCCTTCTCCCCCCCAATTCAGCCATCTGCTTGGCGGGATACTTTCACGAAGCCACCGCTCGGAAACAACCTGGTGACCAGACTGCCTACAGGCAGAGATTCAGTGCGCCAGACCGCTTGCCGTGCGCCTTTCTTTTCGAGTCAAGCAGGGGCCACAACGCGGAGCTTGGAGCAAGCACGGTGGACTTCGAGAAAGCTCTTGACAGTCGAACACGGCACGCCCTGTAGCAGGGGGCAACGCGCTGGCCAGACTGAGGAGCAAGCAGTTTGACATCACACTGGGGGTCGAGCAAGGTGACCCAATCAGCTCCCACACGTGGGTGAGAATTGAACGCTGGCCAGGCGCGAGCTTGGGCGCGGCCGGCGGGTCAGCGCTAGCCATCGAGACCCCCAAAGACAAAACACACGCAAACACACGCAAACACACACACACACACACACACAGAACCACACACACACACCACACACACAACCACACACACACACACATGCGCGAGCGTGTACACATACACACGCCGCAAAAACAACAGCGCAGAGCTTGCCATAAGGCTCTGCGTGGAGACCTAGACCTCGCCGCTCAAGGAAGGCGACGAGGGCGTCGGTTGAATGAATCTCCGCTCGCGCGGACAGCTTGTTGAGCGTGAGTGCGCTAAACAGGGTGGCCTGGCGCAAGGTACAGGCCGGGAGAAGATGGGGTGACCAACGCAACCGCTGGACTGACGCCCAGTGAAGGCGCTTGTTTTCCGCGGCCTCGCGTGAGGCTCACGGGCTGGAGATGCCCCCGCCACTTCCACGGTCTCTCTCCCTCTCTCCGTCTGTCCTCTCTCTCCCTCCTTCTCCCTCTCCCTCCTTCCCTCCTTCCCTCCCTCTCGCTTGTCCATTCTCTCCGTCGTCCTCCTCCCCTCCTCCTCCTTCCGGCGGCGCGCTCCCTCCGCGGGGGCCGTTTCCGCAGGGACGCTGCGGCAACGGGAGGCGACGTCAGCCAGGCTGGGCTGGGCTGCGAGTTTCTGCAGTTTCCCAGGGAGGGGCTTCGTTCCCCCAGCCTGTCTGCCTGTCTGCAGTGGTGCTTCGCGCGCGCTGTTCTGATTGTGGGGTTAAGTCGGGCCTGTCCCCCTACATGGGGGTTTTTCAAAGAAAATTAAAAGTATCCCAACAAAAATCATAAACATGTTTTAAAAAATAGTCCCCAGACATGTTTAGAATATTTTTGAATTTTCACCCTGTAGAGGGACAGGCCCGACTTAATTGTGGGGGCTGGGGGACATGGCGAAACCCCCGGCAGCTGAGGTGCGGACTGTCTGCCGGCCCATCCCACCCACCCCTGACGGCCGCTGTCCCCTCCATCACGGGCTTTCCAGGCACCAGGGGTGCTTATGGACCTGCCCGCCCGAAGGCACAGTGGTCGGTGTGGGGATTCTCCGTCGCGGGAAGTTTCCTGGAGCCCCGTTTCCGCCTGCCCGGTCAGGCCCACTAAAAGCATCCGTGCCCGCGGAGGCGAACGCCGCCCATTGAGCCACCCAGCAGCCAGCCTTCTCTCCTCCTCCTCCTCCTCTTCCTCCTCCTCCTCCTCTTCCTCCTCCTCGTCTTCCGTAGCCATTTTGGCTCAAGCCATTTGGCTCAAGACTTCTGCACGGTAGGGCTCCGCGCCCTTGTGCCGAACTGGACACCGCTAATCCGCGGCAGTGCCAGAGCGCTTGCGCTCGACAGTGTTTTCTTTCAGCCAGTACCGCAGGGGCTCTCTGGCGGCCCAACGCGCAGCAAAGACGTCGCCATGGTGCCGGCGCCGTGGGCATGGAGTGGTAAGCAGCAGCAGGAGTCCAAGCAAGATTGGATGTGCAAGTTTTGCACGTTTCGTCGTATTGGGGCTCCTCTCCTTAACTACGGGACCAACGAGAAGTGCTACAAATTCAAGCTGCACAAGGGTGTGGCATTCAAGTGCGTCGTTCCCTCGGACCTCCCCAGCAGGAGCAAGCGCAAGGCCGACGGCACCAATGATGCAACTACTGCCTCATTTGCCACGTTGGAGAAGCGTCTGCAGCAGCTGGAGGCCGAGAACGCGAAGCTGCGTGGTTCGCCTGACACAGGCGGAGGCGACGCGGCAGTGGAGTCTAATTGAGTCGCAAGAGCTACGTGATGAGATCGACGGCCTCGGCAAGCATGTGCAGTGGCTGGAGTCGGTCCGCTCCCCTTGGGCGGAGTTGCCGCTCAAGGCTGTTCGCGAGCAGCTGGAGGGAGCTCGTCGCAAGCTGTACGAGAACAAGCCCTTGCCCGCGAAGCTCACGGCCTTGTCGCGCCGAGCTGAGCAGGCTCGCATCCGCTACCAGAAGGCGGAGCAGGACAAGGCGGCAGCGGACCAGAAGCTGCTCAAGGCGCAGGAGGGGGCCAAAGCAGCTGCTGTGGTGGTCTCGGAGCGCCAGAAGGTCTGCTTGCAGCTGGAGGAGGAGGTGCGCGCTCTCGCTTCTTCGCAGCCAGCAGAAGAGCCAGGGCAGCATCAGTCTATGGATCGCACGGGCCCAGAGATCAAGTTGGATGAGGCCAAGTTGCTTTCAGCGCTTGGTGCAATGGAGGGCGTCGCGGACGCCAGCAAGCTGGCGCCGAAGCTGGCTGAGGTGCTCAAATCCTGCGCGGCCGAGCTGCTGGAGGAGCCGCCCGACAAGCGAGCCCTCGTGGCAGCGAGCGGTGGTCAACCAGCGGAGCCGCCCCCAGCAGCATGGAACATCGACACGGTCGAGGTTGAGCAGCTGCGCAAGGATGTCGGCTCCTTGGCTGGCGAAGTTGAGGAAGAGGAGGAGCTTCGAGCCAAAGCTCGTCTTTTGGCAGCAGGAGGCTTCAAACCTAAGCGGCTACACAATCCGAACTATTGAGTGCCCCCTCGCGTCCTTGGATGCGGTCAAAGGGGGCGAAGTGGACGACAATCGATTACGACAAGTAACCTACGGCGGCCTGCAGTTCCCTGATTACAGCTGCCTGCGCCTTTGCGAGCATTTGAACGGAGAAGATGCATCAGGTGAAGTGGTGCCTCTTTCTGCTGGGCAACTTGCGGGGCAACACACAGATTCACCCGGCCCTGGCGAACTACATGAGCCCGCTCCTGTTCATGATTTGGAGTCGCTCGGTCGGAGTTCTACCTTCACAGCGCTTAGCAAGCTTCAGGTGGCTGGTGACAAGCAGCCGATCCAATCGTTCGGGGCTAGCACGGAGTTCACGGTGGTTTGCTACAACAGCAATTCCTGGGCCACGGCTCAGAGTTTCATGGAGTGGTGCGTGCTGGACCAGTTGCTGCAGGCGGACAGTTTCGTGCTGCAGGAGCTGCGCCTCACAGCTGGCGAGCAGATCCGACGCGGTCAAGCTTGGGCTCGGGCTCGGGGCTATCGGCTGGAGGCGTCACCGCGTGCGATCACTGGCAGTTCGGCTTTGTCGACGTCTAGTGGGGTAGGCCTGTGCACGCGTGCTCACATTCCTGTTGCAGAGTATTTGCCAGCATGTGCACATCCCAAGAGCAGGCTTAAGTTTCAGCGCACTGTTTTAGGAGATATGCAGATTCTCTTCGTTTCGGTTTACGGGGAGGTGGGGGTGGGCCTTAAAGGAAACGTAAAGCTCTTGGGAGCTCTCATTGAGGCCGTTCGGGCCTCGTGCCTGCCCTTCTGCATTGCGGGCGACTGGAACATCGAAGCTGAGCTTTTTGGGACCGACAGTTTTCTTCGGCATGGTTTTTCAAAACTTGTTGCACGCGGAGGTTGCGCGCGTAGAACAGCCCACGTGCAACGACAGCTGCATAAACTTTTTCGTGATGAGTGATGTGCGAATGCCCTTTGTCCGTAGCATGCGCCTTCGGCATGACACTCCCGTGGGGCCCCACAAAGCGGCAGTCCTCAGGATGTCGGGGGTGGGAAGCCATAATTTCATGTACAGGCGAATCCAGCCCGAACCGTTCAGGCTCCCAAAGAAAGGGGGGGGCTTTCGTTCCAGGGGACATCTCGGGCTGGCCAGGTATCGAAATTCTTGCAGGGGGGTCCGTGGACAGTCTTGCGCGCAGGTGGTTTTCCTCCGGTGAGCTTTATCTGCGCATGTACACGGCGCTGCCCGAGTTTGACAGGCCCCGTTATTCAGGTCGCGCTGCTGGTTGCCGTCTGGAAAAAGGTGCCCTTGTCTTGCGCCTGGGGAAAAAGTGCCAGAAGAAAGGCCAGTGCGTTAACTCTGAAGTGGTTAACGCTTCGTAGAGTGACAACGCAGTGGCTCCGCGCGCAAGACTCCACGGCCCCAGACAAGCATGCTGCGCTCAGCAGCGCTGTTGCACGCATGGAGGAGGTCGGTAGCGTTTGGACGGGTTCGGGGGAGGAGGAGGCTGAGTCGACTCAGGAGTCTGTGTCACCAAGCTCGCATACCGCCTTCCTTGCTCGTCTTGAGGATTCCGACTCTCGTGTTGAGGTGTGCGACTTGCTTCGGCGTCGTGTGCAGCAGCAAACGAGCAAGGATGCGTCGGCGGCTCGACAGTCTTGGAAGGAGTTTTCAGATCTCGCGTTCCAGAGAGGAGGGAGTCTTGCTCATAAGCATGCTCGGGGCCCTCAGGGCAATTCCCAACCAGCGCTTGCTGACTCGCTGCCCGTCGCGGGGCATGAGGCCTTGAAGGCCATGCTGGGGACTTGGGTCTCGCTTTGGAAGCTTCCGTCCAGGGACCTGGAGCCCCACCCTCTTTCCTGGGATGTTTCAGGCGCGGCTCCCCTTCCCGAGCTAGAGCCAGCAGCGGTGCGAGCAGCCCTAGGGTCGTTTAGGCCCAACACTGGTCTTGGCTGGGATTCCTTTCACCCGAGGTGGATTGAGAAGTTGCCTGAGCCTCTCATAGCGGCTTTGATCCTGATTTTGCACCGGTGGGAAGCTGAGCCAGAGCTCACTGACACATGGCTCATTCTCATCGTCTTCCTCCCCAAACCACAAGGGGGGAAAGACCCATAGGCCTGCTGCCCTTGTTTGCTAGAATATGGTCTAGATTGAGACACAAGCAGGTCTCCAATTGGGAATCCAAGTTGCCCGATAGATTTTTTCTGGGGAGCCTCTAGTGAGACCTCATGTGACAAGTCCGCCTGGATTCACAACACCCTTGCGGCTGTGGCCCCCCAGTTAGGCTTTGTCAGTTCTAGCGCGTTTGTGGACCTCCGCAAGTTTTATGAAATGGTCAGCCACCAAGAACTTTCGCGTGCTGCCAGGGATACTGATTTTCCCCTGGCACTTCTGAGGCCCTTGCGCGCATTGCACAGAGGCCCTAGGAGGGCCGTGTACCAACAATCGGTTTCGGAGGTCATTAACGCGAACGGGTCCATCATAGCAGGTAGCTCATGCGCAACAGGGTTGGCTAAGTTGATGACGATCACCACGCTCAGGAGCATAGGGGTTAAGTGTAACCTTATCAGAATCAAGAATTTGATCGATGATATCAGCTTACATGTGATAGGTGGGCCCACTCAGGTTGCCGATCAGGCGATTACTGGTCTAACGATGCTGGTAGGAGGCATGGAGGACCGCAGGCTCCCGATTTCGTGGGACAAGTGTGGTCTGTTGTGCAGCGATGATGAAGTTCTCCGCAAAGTGAGAGCGCATGTGCGAGATCTTTGGCCAGAAGATGTTCCTTGCCCTGGTCGCGATGCCTTTCATAGAGATCTAGGGGGAGATGCCATTGACGGAAGGATGAGGAGGATCAGCACTCAGGTTTCGAGGATCTCAGAGGCTCTGCAGCGAGGGGTGCGTGTCAAAGCTCTCCAGGGACTGGGTCGTCAAAGATCAGCTGTGCATCGAGCAGGGGTCCTGGCCAAATCTCTTTGGGGCTCCAGTATCCAAGGTGTGGCAAGTTCGAGGATCCAGTCCCTTCGCATGTCGTACTTGAACGTTGGCAAGTACAAGCCAGGCGCGTCTGTGGGTCTTTCGTTGCTGACGGCAGAGTGCGGCTGGCAGCAGGACCCCTTGGTCATTGCGACGGTGGACGCGGTCCACACCTTTGCTGTCGTCATGAATTCACAGGCCGTCACATGGGCGGTCGTGGACAAGTTGCTCAAAGAAGCGAGGCCGTTGCTACTGGATCCACAACGCTGGGCCAAGTGCAAAAACCCGATTGCCGCGCTTCTCCTCTCGCTCCACAGGATTGGGTGGTCTTGGGAGGACGTCCACACCATCAGAGATGACGATGAGCAGCTTTGGGACTTCAGGACCACTCCGCCCGCCCTACTGAGCTCGACGGTCAAGCATGGGGTTCGGAGGCACATCGATAGGGAAGCTCTTCACAGGCTCGCAGATGGTGGCTCACGAGTCCCTCAAGGCCCCTTACCGTGGATACCCATGAACGAGGTCTTGCATTCAAAGCGCAGTAAGTTACCGCCAAGGGAACGGAGGTCTCTCAGGGGCCTGTGCTCGGGGGCTCACTGGTGCCAGTACAGGGTCTCGAAGTCCTTCAGCGGGGAGCCCCCGGTGTGCTTGAGGTGCCAAGGTTGCCCAGGCACGTTCTAGCATAGGTTCTTTGAGTGCGACGCGTACCACTTCTTCAGGCAGGAGAGGCTCCCGAAGGAGCTCCACAGTGCAGTCAAACGTATGAAGCAGGCCCCTGAGGCCCTACAGACTCTCTTCTGCCGTGGCCTTCTTCCTGACCCTGCTCAAGCTTTCGCTTATCCGAGCAGGAACCCAGCACACCACTTTTATGACATGGATCGTAAAGGAATTGTTCATACGGGAGTGGGTTCTATACGGACAGACCGTACAGGAGAAGCGCTGGGTGGTCAGTTGTAGTATACGACCATGAACGCAGGATGGTGGCCAGGCACTACGGCGCAGTGCCAAAAGATAGGTGCCCCCTGCAAGTGGCCAAGTGTGGAGAGGACTATGCGATGTTGATTGTTAGCAGGCAAGTTCTTGGATCATGCACGGTGCTCTCAGACTGTAAAGGCACGCTGTCTGACTGTCGTTCGCTTAGCCTGGCAGTGGGAGCAGGCAGTCCAAGAGCTAATGTGTGGAAGTTGATTGCTCAGAATGAGGAGTTTCATCGGCAGGCGTTCAAGCATGTGAAGGGCCATGCAACATCGACGGATGTGATTGAAGGTGTGTTGTCTGATTTTGAGAAGACGGGCAACTCCACGGCGGATGCTTTGGCGAAGCGTGGGGCTGCATATAATATGCCAGAGGATGAGCACGTGGATGTCGTTCGTGGCTGCAGGAAGTTACACAAAATGCTACTGCAGTACCTTGGGAGTTTTCAAGCATGGCTGTATGATTGCAACGCTGAGGGCCTGGACTACCATTTCCCGTTGAAAGAAGATGTGGAGCAGGAGGCCCCTGTTCAGCCGTCCCTGCCCGTCATGGTGGGCAATGAGCCCCTCTGTGAATTGGTCCTGGAAGACGAGCTTGATGGTTTCCTGGAGCCATGGCATGTGGCAGGGCACAGCCTAGTGGAATATCCGATGGTGGATTCGCCACACTTTATTTTGTTCTGTTCCACGTGCTGCCAGTATTTCTGTTCTGATTCTAAGAATCATCGAAGGCTGGCTCAGAAGTGTAAAGGCAAGCATGGAGGTGGCCGCGAAGTGGAAAACCGACGGCACTTTGATAATCTCAGGCATCCACAAGCGATTCGAGCTCATGTCAGGCTCGAGTCTCCGCGGTCGCCATCAGGGCCAGCACGGAACATGGTTAGAGACCAAGAAGTGGGAGTTGGAGTTGAGCAGCAGCGCCGTTCAGACCCCACTGAAGAAGCAGAGGCTCCTGGATACATCACGTATTCTCCTGGCGTACGGGCTCGAGTTTCGCGAGGCCGTGGAGCTAGGCCACATTCCCGATGATGACGATGATGACCAAGAGTCGGAGTGAGTGTGCAGCCCTGACTGCACACCGATATGGAGCCAAGATGTTGAGTTTGATCCTCGGTGGCTTCGACAACTTGTTCTGCTTTCAAATCCTGTGCCCTTGGGGCGGCAGGTTCGTTCGTCGCCAGGCTGGTGACTTCCGTCCGAGTTTCTTGTGGTTGCAGCTTTGCTGGCCCTTGATTTCTCTAAGTGGCGGGAGCGCCAGTCTGCTTTGCCGTGGTTCGATCGAGATGCTGTGTTTCCGCGTCCCCTTCGTTTGCCACGTCGGCGACGTTTCCACGTGGGCATGCCGTACGTTGCCCTGGCGCTGGACTGGGTGTGGTGGTTGCACCAGCTCATGGCGCTGGGAGCCCTCGAGGAGCACTTCGTCGCCTCGGCGGGCCTCGTGCGGGTGAGCACGGGCCTGCCGCAGGCCCCGTGCTCCCTGGCCGCCCGCGGCAGCGTTGAGGTAGGTACGTCCCCCACGCCCCGTCCTGGCGCTTGCAAGGTGGTCCTGGCCTTCGGGCTCCACCGTGTAGGTGCTGGGAGGGGGTTGTGAGGGTTGTGCCTCCCTCCCCGTCTCTGGATCCAACTGCCCCTCGGCTTCCGCTCGCTCGCTCCTCCTCCTCCTCCTCCTCCCCTTCCTCCTCCTCCTCCGCCTTCATTTTTTCGCCTCCTCCTCCTCCTCCGCCTTCCCGACTCCTACTACTTATTCGTCTTATTCCTCCTCCTCATCCTCCTGCTCCCCCCTCCGTCCCAACCCCCCACCTCTCCTTGAGCCTGCAGTGTGGCGAAACCACCGCTTCTTGAACCTCCACCCTCCTTCCTCGTCCTCCTCCTCCTCCTCGTCTTCCTCCTCCTCCTCAGCCTCCTCCTCTTCCTCGTCCTCCTCCTTTTCCTCCTCCTCCTCCTCCTCCTCCTCCTCCTCCTCCTCCTCCTCCTCCTGCTGCTGCTCCTGCTTCACCCCGCTCCTCCTCCCCCTCCTCCTCCTTCTCCTCCTTCTTCTCCTCCCTCTCCTCCTGCTACTCTTTCTCCTCCTTCTCCTCCTCCTGCTCCTCCCCGATGCTGCTCCTCCTCCTCCTCCTCCTCCTCCTCCTCCTTCTCCTCCTCCCTTTCCTCCTCCTCCCTTTCCTCCTCCTCCTCCCCGCTCCTACTTCTCCTCCTCCTCCTCTCCTCCTTCTCCTCCTCCTCCTCCTCCTCCTCCTCCTCCTCCTCCTCCTCCTCCCCTCTCACTCCCCATGCCCCCGACGTCCTGATTTTGAATGACGTCGACCCCCACAGGTCTCGACCAATTGCCCGGGACGGGCTCTTCATCCCGAGTGGTTGTTTGACGGTCCCAGTGCCAGGCGAGGGCCCCCAAAGGCCAAGCACAGCAGAGAACCGTCCGTCGCGACTTTTGTTGGTACGCGGGGGCGTCTGGACCCCCCTCCTCCCACCTCCTCCTCCTCCTCTTCCTCCTCCTCTTCCTCCTCCTCTTCCTCCTCCTCCTCTTCTCCTCCTCCTCCTCCTCCCTCCCCCTGCCCGCCCCTTCTCCCCCCCCCCCGCCCCCGAGCCTCGCCCAGCCGCGCTCCGCAGTGCCGCGTGCACCTCGGCCCCCCGGTCGTAGGCCCAGCTGGCATTCTTCTTCTCCTTTCTGTGCAGCAGGCGCCAGTACATGGCGGAGGGCGGCTTCGGAGGCAACTCTCCTGGGAAGCCTTCGTAAGAACGATTGCGCTGAAGGCTACTGAGCCCGATCAAGGAAGGGGCCACTAGGCTGGATGAGGCGGCCAGATGAGGCCCAGAATGGAAACCGGATAGAGCCCGATGAGCGGGATTGTGCGGAATCGAACGGGAGTGCGCCGGTTTTCGACCGCGCCGATGCTGAATCTGACCTCCCAGGAAGTGCATCCCGAGGCGGAGTTCGAGGAAGATGAGGACGCCTGAAAGAGCATGGCGGAGCATGGGCGCGAAATAGCCTGGCGGAGATCAGGCCTCCGGAAGCCTCTAAGAAGACCCCAGGAGCCTCGACCTCCAAGAAGGCCCAAGGGACGCCGGAGACCTCCCGAGAAAACACCGGAGACCTCCGGAAACCTCAGGCCTGCCGCCGGAAGCCTCGGGGGAGGAGGAGGGCACATCGCGGTGAAGTCGATCTTCTCCCTGGCCTCGCGGATGAACTGCAGCAGCACCTCCCACGTGTGCCTGGCACCCTTCACCAGCTCTTCCCCCTCCTCCTCCTCCTCCTCCTCGTCCTCCTCCTCCTCCTCCTCCTCGTCGTCCTCCTCCTCCTCCTCGTCCTCCTCCTCCTCCTCCTCCTCCTCCCTCCTCGTCCTCATTCCGCCCTGCTCCTGCTCCTCTTCCTCCTTCCGGCCTTCGAAGCGAAAGCAATGAGAGGAAATTCTGCTGTCCTGCGCAAAGCTGCGCGAGATCAAATGGATTCAACTCCGAAGCGATGGTACTGCCATGAAGTTGCCATCGTATCTTGGTAATCGCCTCTATCTGCCCTAGCTTTTGCAATATCCTGTCTCGTGGTAAATGATCTGGGATATCCTACTGCCTGTCACGAATCCTCCTCTGACGCTGCAGGCTCTTGCTTTGTCACTTTTGTTGGCACTGGGTTTGGTCATGCAGCCCCGGGGAATGACAGAATTAACTACCGATATCTTGAATATATAGTTTGCGGGACTGGTGGCATCTTTGTTCAACCATCTCATCTGGACGTCCTGCATTGGCAAATTATAAAACGCAAACAACAAAACTACATTGAATGGTTTTTTTTCGGGGCGAATGGCCATCGGATAACATCTTTATACACACACATCTGTTTATAAATGTGCATGCTGAATTGTCTGTGCCGCTCGTCAGATGTGCTTGCCTGGCATTTCCATGGAACTCCATCATCGCTGTGCGCAGCCGAAGGTTGGGACCGTGCTGCTTCCATGGCATCGCGACGTGTTCTGGCTGTCATCCTCTCGTCGGTCTTGCGAGCCCCTGGCAGATGCTGGTGGAAGCGACGAAGTCTGGTTTAGAGGATCATGCAATTGTGTATGCCTAGTCTTGCTGGGATTGCAAGCATGTAGGCTAAACTCCTTGCCAGCGTCAGTCCAACTGCAAATCTGGTGTCTATCAACGCTGGCTCGAACACGCCGTCCTTGAGCTTCGTCGGCATGCCGCTGAAGTGAACAGCACAAGCACTGGCTTGCGCGTCGCCAGCCTTTCTGGTCTCCTTCCTGGCTGTTCGTGCTGCGAGTTCTTGGGAGATGTGGGCAGCAAAGTCCTTCGCGATCGCCGCCCTGCACCCTAGTGCCAATGGCCATCCGATGCTCGCCAACGTAACCGTTCAATTCATGGTGGAGCTCGGTGGTGACCTCTGATAAATCGCAGCCGCAATCGTCGTGAATCCTCTAGGGTCCTGAGAACCCGTCTGGACAACATGCGCGTGTTTTCGTCGCCGGCACAAGAGGCCCGCGTAATGCATCCAGAGTGGGGCCAAGGTGCGCCAAGTGCTGCACAATGCCACCGCTTGTATCATTATGAGTCGCCTGGGGCTATTACAACCATGTGCGTATCGAGGACGAATGGAGTCTTTCGCTCATTGCACATATCCTGTTGATCGCTGTGGCAATTCATAAGTGAGGCTATCATCTCGAGCAGCATGTCCTAGTTGGGAGGTGTCTGCAAATTAATCAATCGATCTAACAATTTGCTCGTACTCTATGTTGCGTGACACGCCTTTTGCGCCACATCTGGTCAACACTCCGCCGGACTGGACTTCCAATCTAGCATGTTTCACAACTCGCTTCCATGGTGCAACTTGCCAAAGGCCTACTGTGATCTTGCATTCAACCGTCGAGTTGGCCATCGATCGTGAAGCGACGGTCCGAGGAAACGTACTTGTGGTGGCCGGTCGGCCTCACCAGTCCAGCCTGTCCAGCAGCAAGTGCAGGAGTAAATGGTGCGTTCCCAATCACGGGAAGATCTGCTGCATGCAGTCCAAGGCAGAGGACCGTGACACTCACGGCGGCGACGGGAAGCACGACGCAAGAAGCAGCAAGCGCTGCGGGGGGTGCCCTGTGCCCGTACCTACAGATGCGTCGGGATCGCTAACCTCATTACGGCAGGTTCTTGTCGTGCCGACCCCAGCGTTGGTTTTTGACACCGCAGGGATCGTTCAACCTTGAACGATCGGCCGCTGCCGCAACGTCCGATCGTTCAACATCGATCGATTCTGGGTCGCCGGCGGCGTTCAACCTTGAACGCCCGCGCTGGGGTCGCGACGAGTCGACACGACGCAGACCTACCGTAAGGTTCTCGCCAACTGGATGGTTGGAGATATCGCGCAGTGCTGTTCGTATGCTCGTGCGGCGAGGGCTTCGCCCGCAGCCCTGCGGGCAACTAGAGCAAAACTATTGCCCCCAGGGTGGGCACCGATCTTTTGGCACCGTGCGCTCCTCGCGCAAACCACCTGAAAGGGCTCTCGCTCTCACCTGGTCCAAATCTGCATTGCCTGGTTGCCCTATGCAGCATCAACCAGAATCCGTGTGGGTGCCACATGGCACGGAGAGTAAGCCGTGCTAGTCCGCACTCATTTGCTGCATGTGCGTTGTGAACTCTCCTTGGTGGAACATCATGGTCATCACGCATGCTGAGGACAACACGCGAATTCAAGACGTCATGGCCTTTCGCATGCGGGCTCGACTTCACCGTTCGGTCCACATGTCCCCCTAACATGCCTCGGTTCCAAGCCATGTACTTCAGTATTGGATGCACGTGCCATGACCAGTTCGACCAACACATTAGGCAGACATATTCGAAATAGTCACACACACACATACTGCAATAAGGTGATGGATTTCCACACTTGGTCGACGAAGTCGGCGAGGAGACATGTACCCAGGCCCGAGAAGACAATTGCCACGATTCGGGGGTGGTTGAGAGCTGTGGCGGCTCCACAATGTGATACCATGCTTGAAGGAAACGCTTGCGTGCTTGAACACGATGTGAGGAGCATGTGGCGATGTGAGTCCTGCAGAGGTCAAACAATGCGAGAGGGATTGGCTGCCCGCAGATACTGGGCATAACTTCGAACCCATTGGTGGTAGAAGTATTGGTCGGTTCCTGCGGACTTCATGTGAACGTGCGCGGATGGCCACACGAATAGACACGACCGTCCTGCTCCAGCACACACCCCGACGTGCGAATATGTGCCGTCGTCTGTGCACCGCTTTCCCTCTTTCTCGCACGCTCTCTTTCAACGACCTTTCAGGCTGCGTACGGGTGCAATAGAAGTGTAAGCTGCGTTTCAATTGGGGACGCTGAAACATCTGAGGTGTCCGCGGGAGGCCGCATAAGCAAGATGTGAGCATCCTGCATCGCGGCTGAAACAAGACGCTCTTGGGCGCAAGAAAGTACGACAACGCGCCGCATTCCGTGGCCAAAGAATTTTGCACATCCCAAGTCTGTAGATTATGCTTTGTTTGTCGTGCGTTCAGCCAGTCATGCCTTTCTCTGCATCACCTGAATTGTTTGTGTGTTGATATTTGCCAGCGTGGGTCCCAATCAGTTGGTTGTGGCACTCTCGATATGCAGTTTTTGTGGTGCACGCTGCGTGGTGCAATCTCTGTGTGTTGCACCATACGTTTACACCGATGTATATATGCACACACGTATGCTGTGCTAACGCTGGGCTTGGAATCTCACAAGGTTTGCAGCTGTGCCCGCTTGGTCATCCAACCGACGAGCTCCTGGCTCCTGCGTGCTCGGTCGGATTCCGCGCGCCCATGAGCTCGAGCTACCGGGCTTTTACTTGAACCAATGTGTTTCGGAAGGAGCGTGGGTGGCCAGTGCATAACTCTAGAGCTTTTTGTTCACGACACGGCAGATGCAGTCTCCTGCGCTGGCCTTGCTGCAGAGCGTGCTCCTGACCCTGTGTGCACATTAGTGTATCCAGCCCGTGGTGATGCATTGCGCACGTGGCTCCCTCCTCCCTCGTCCCTCCTCGCCTATCCCATTGGTCGCCCCCCTGCCCCCTCGCTCGCGCTTACTTTTCATCTCGGGGCTGCGTTCACTCGAGCCAGCCGATGAGCGGAGCACGATTGCTCGCCATGCCATCGTCCGATGACGACCTCCGTCCTCTCCTCCTCCCCCCTCCCCTCTTCCTCCTCCTCTAAAGGTCTCCAGACGTCCTACGTCTGTCTCCAGGCTCCTCCTCCTCCTCTTCCGCCTCCCTCCCCATTCCTCCTCTCCTCCTCCACCCTCCTCGTCCCCCTCCTATGCCTGCCACCCTCCACCAGCTCCGTTGACGTGTCCAACGGGATGGTCTCCACGATGTACGCGGTGCCGTCGACGACCGCCCCCGGCTCGGATGCCTCCCATCCCGCCGCCCCTCCCCCCCGCTCCTGCAGCCGAAAGTAAGAGAGGACAGAGCCGGGCCAAACAACAGCACCAGGGGTAGATGTTACACCGCCCTGTCCTGATCACGATCACCACGACGCAGGGATCCTTCTCCTCTTCCAGCTCCATGCCCCTTCCTTTCAAAACAGCTGCCCATTGTCCCAGGAACGACAAGGAACGTGCAAGAACACTACGCAGAAACTGCACGCATAAACACTACGCCAATGACTGCCGCAGAATTATCTGGGGAAAAAACAACCATATGCAGTTGTAAGTATCGAGGTGGTGCGTCTCCTCTTCGGTGGAGCTCCCTCTGAGGCCACGAAACGTGTGAGGGCTGTGCCGAAATCCGCCGACCCTGTCGGCGTGTGTGAGGGGCTTCTCCGTTCGACTCGTCGTCTCCGTCGTCTCCGTTCTCCCCCTCCCAGGGCTCTCCTCCTCAAGCGCGCTATCCAAAGCGAAATTAAACGACGTCGTAGTGGAGTCGAAGGGAAGCCCCTTCCCTTTGATCCCTTCCCCGCAGGGGGGGGGGAGGGGGGGGGGCCCGGGGCAGATACGACGCCCGCCGGGGCGCACTTTCCTCGAGCGGGCACGCACGGGATGCACTTCCTCCTCCTCCTGGTCCTCCTCCTCCTCCTTCCTCCTCCTCCTCCTCCTCCTCCTCCTCCTCCTCCTGCTCCTCTCCTCCTTCTCCTCCTCCTCCTCCTCCTCCTCCTCCTCCTCCTCCTCCTCGCAGAGGCGTCCCGGGAGCGGGCCCCGAGTCAAAATACCACCCCCCTAGGGCGCATTTTCCTCGAGCGGGCACGCCCGAGATGCACTTCTTCCTCTTCCGGGAGCACGTCCCAAGTCAGAATATCACACTCCCGGGGCGCACTTTCTTCGAGCGGGCACACAAAGGATGCACTTCCTCCTCCTCCCTCCTCCTCTTCCCTCCTCCTTCTCCTCCTCCTTCTCCTCCTCCTTCTCCTCCTCCTCCTCCTCCTGCTCCTCCTCCTTCTCCTTCTCCTCCTCCTCCTCCTCCTCCTCCTCCTCCTCCTCCGCTTCCTCCCCCCACTCCTAGCCATTTCGATTGGGGTCGGCGGCACCGGCCGTCAGGCCTCTCCAATCTGTGGCGGGGACGCATGTGAGCGCAGCCGCTGGGTCTTTCGGTGGCGCTCCCCATGGGGCCACAAAACGTGCGAGGGGTGTGCGAAATGTGCGGCGGGGACGCCTGTGGTCACAGCCACTGGGGCCTTCGGCGGAGCTCCCTATGGGACCACGAGCCGCGTGAGGGGTGTGCCGAAATGGGCGCGGGACGCATGTGGATGCAACCACTGGGGCCCTCGGTGGAGCTCCCTATGTGGCCACGAACCGTGTGAGAGGTGTACCGAAACGGGTGGCGGAGTCGCATGTGCATGCAGCCACTGGGGCCTTCGGTGGAGCTCCCAATGGGGCCACGAAGCGTGTGAAGGCTGTGCCGACAAGGGCGCGGGACGCATGTGGACGCAACCAGGGCGGCCTTTGGTGGAGCTCCCTATGGGGCCACGAAACGTATGAGGGGAGTGCCGAAATCTGTGGCGGAGACGCATGTGGACGCAGCCACTGGGGTCTTCGTTGGAGCTCCCTATGGGACCACGAGACGTGTCAGGGTGTGCCGAAATGGGCGCGGGACGCATGTGGACGCACGCACTGGTGCCGTCGGTGGAGCTCCCTATGTGGCCACGAACCGCGTGAGAGGTGTGCCGAAATGGGCGCGGGACGTATGTGGACGCATCAACTGGGGCCCTCGGTGGAGCTCCCTACGTGGCCACGAACCGCGTGAGAGGTGTGCCGAAATGGGCGCGGGACGTATGTGGACGCAACCACCAAGGCCTTCGGTGGAGCTCCCCATGAGGCCACGAAACGAGTGAGGGGAGTGCCGAAATCTGTGGCGGGGACGCATGCGGACGCAACAACTGGGGCCTTCGGCGGAGCTCCCTATGGGACCACGAACCGTGTAAGAATAGTGCCAAAATGGGCGCGGGACGCACGTGGACGCAGCCACTGGTGCCGTCGGTGGAGCTCCCTGCGGGGCCACGAAGCGTGTGAGGGCTGTGCCGAAATCTGTGGCGGGGACGCATGTGGACGCAGCCGCTGGGGCTTTCGGTGGCGCTCCCCATGGGGCCACGGAACGTGCGAGGGGTGTGCGAAATGTGCGGCGGGGACGCCTCTGGTCACAGCCACTGCGGCCTTCGATGGAGCTCCTTATGAGGCCACGAAACGTGTGCCGAAATCTGTGGCGGGGACGCATGTGGACGCAACCACCAAGGCCTTCGATGGAGGTCCCCATGAAATCACTAACCGTGTGAGGGGTGTGCCGACATGGGCGCGGAATGCATGTGGACGCAGCCACTGGGGCCTTTTCGGTGGAGCTCCCCATGAGGCCACGACACGTGTGAGGGTGTGCCGAAATGGGCGCGGGGCGCATGTGGACGCATCCCCTGAGGCCTTCGGTGGAGCTCCCCATGAGGCGACGAACCGTGCGAGGGGTGTGTCGAGATGGGTGATGGTGGTGATAATGATGATGATAGTGATGATAATGATGATTACAGCATGATGTAATGATGATGCTGATGATGCTGCTGATGATGATGATGATGAAAACGATGATGATGATGATGATGATGATGATGATGATGATGATGATGATGATGATGATGATGATGATGATGATGGTGATGGTGATGATGATGATGATGATGATGATGATGATGATGATGATGATGATGGTGGTGGTGGTGGTGGTGGTGATGATGCTGACGGCGACGATGACACGCGGAAGGCAGAGGCAGGGACGGAAAGGGGAAGGACAGAGGAGGGGAGGAGGAAGGAGTGAGGGAGACGCGGGGCGCTGTCTCTTCAAAACGAGGACCCAACACCAGAGAATGGTTGGGACACACCCTGCGCACGCTGGGACCTCCTCCGCAAATCCCCCCTCGCACTCTTTCCTGATCCTCCGCATCTGTCTTGTCTTCCATCCCCGTGCCTCCCTATCCCCCTGCTCATTCCTCGTCCGCGTCGTATTCCTCCTTCTCCTCATCCTCCACCTCCTCCTCCTCCTCCTCCCCTTCCTCCTCCTCCTCCGCCTTCATGTTTTCCCCTTCTCCTCCTCCTCCTCCTCCTTTTCCTCCTCCTCCTCCTCCTCTTCCTGCTTTTCCTCCTCCTCCTCCTCCCTTCCTCCCTCCTCCTCCTCCTCCTCCTCCTCCTCCTCCTCCTCCTCCTCCTTTTCCTCCCTTTTCCTCCCTTTTCCACTTCTACTGCTCCCGCTCCCCGCACCATCTCCCGCTCCTCCTCGTCCTACTCCTTCTCGTCCTCCTCCTCCTTCTCCTCCTCCTCCTCCTTTTTGACGTTGCGCGGACCTCATGCAACAGCATGTGGCGTTAAACCTCCTCCTCCTCCTCTTCCTCCTCCTCCTCCTCCTCCTCCTCCTCCTCCTCCTCCTCCCCGTCCGCCCTCCTCCTTTTCGCCCACCCCTTCCAACTTTACCGTTTCCTCGTTGCCGTAGACCTCGCCATCGTCGTAGACCTCGCCATCGTCGACGTCGTCTTCGTCGTCGTCGTCCTCGCCGTCGCCGCCGCCGTCCCCGTGACCGTCGCCGTCGTCGTCGTCGTCGCCGTCGCCGTCCTGTCGTCGCCGTCCTGTCCGTCCTCGCCGTCGCCACCGCCGTCACCGCCGCCATCCCCGCCCCGCCGGCGCGACCGCGGCGACCACCGCCACAAGGCTCAACAACGCCCGCCCGCGCGCAGCGGAACCGCGGCGCGGCGGCGGGGCGGTGGCCCAACCCGCCATTGGAGGGAGGGAGGGAGGGAGGGAGGGAGGGAGGGAGGGAAGGAGGGAGAAGATGAGGCAGGATAGGGGGGGGGGCGGCGGAGGGAGGGAAGGAGCGAGGGAGGGAAGAAGGGGGAGGGAGGCAGGGGAGGTGGAGGAGGAGAGGGAGGCTGAGAAGGAAAGGACTCTCTCCAGCTTCTCCTCCCTCATTCTCCTCCTCTTTCTCCTCCCCCTCCCTTCTTTTCTGCCGCCTCCCTGCACCTCCCCCCCTCCATCGGGAGCTCCTCCGCGGGGGCAGAAAGCGTCGATCCCGATCCACCACGCGCGCCGCAGCCTCTCCTGCTGAACAGGAAGGAAAGATTGGGCTGCGGGGGCGTTCAGATGGCCACCAGGAGGATTTTCAACGCGCCTCCGCTGATCTAGCCGACGTGCCCAGTGATCTGGCCTTGAGCGCACTGCTGCGGCAGGTCTTGTTCATGGTCAGCTCTCCCAGCTTCTGGCTAGATGGTCTCGTCTACTGCGGTTCACTGCGGATGACGTAACGGGGGGCGCTATCCTCCAACCCACCAGCCCAGCAGACTTTCAAGGTATGGACGCTCAGTTCCAGCACCGCGCGCTCGAAATACTCCTGTCGAACTTGCCCTCCGCAAAGTCTCTCACGGCGATCGGCTGTTTGGGTGTCCGGGCCTTCCACGGGCCTTGGTGTTCGTCTCGTGGCCCTCGTAATTCAGCTGGTGGCCCTAATAGGTCAGCTGGTTGTCCGCCTGGCGCTGCCTGTGGCTCTCGTAGCTCAGTTCGTGGCCCTTGCAGCTAAGCTGGTGGCCCTCGTGGCATTGCTGGTGGCTTTCGTAGATCAGCAGGTGGCCCTGGTATGATACGATGAGGCTCTCATGGCTCTGCATGTGGCCCTCGTAGCACAGCTTGTGACTCTCGTAAATCAGCTTGTCTACATCGTTGTTCGGCTCGTGACCCTCGTAGCTGTGCTGGTGGCTCTCGGAGTCCTGCCTGTGACCGCCGTAGCTCAGCTTGCGGCCAGGGGAGCGCCGCTGGAGGCGTTCGTGGCCGAGCTGGTGGCCCTCGGAGGCCTGCTTGCTGATCTCGCAACTCAGGTTGCGTCCCCTCGTAGACAATTAGATGGCCCTGGTCGATCAGCCGGCTGCCCTCGTAGCCCACTTTTGCTTCGTGGCTCAGCTTGTGGTCCTCCTCTGAGCTCCGCTTGCCGCCGCCGTCGATCAGCAGGTGGTCCTCGTAGTTCTGGCGGTGGTGGGCCACCTCGCTCAGCGGGTGGCCCCAGCAGCTCACTTGGGGTCCCTCTTGGCCGTCGTTGCTCAGCTGGTGGCTGGGATAGCCAGCTCGGGCCCTCGTAACTCAAGCGGTGGCACCAGTAGCTCCGCTGGTTGCCCGCGCGGCCCTGCACGTGGCAGTCGTAACTCCGCTGGTGGCCCTCGCCGGTGGCCCTCGCAGCTCTGCTCTGGTGGCCCTCGCCGGTGGCTCAGCAGGTGGCCCTGGCAGCTCAGCCGTTGAGCATCGTCGGTCTGCAGGGGGCCCTCGTGGCCCTGCTGCTGGCGCTCGGGGCCCAGGCTGTGGCTGCAGCAGCTCAGCCCGTTGCCCTCGCAGCTCCGCTGGAAGCTCTCCCTGAACAGGTGGATGCATTCGGGCCTCTGCGTGCTGCCCTGAGATCAGGCTGCGGCCCCCGTAAATCAGCGGGTGGTCCTGGTAGATCAGCACGTGCCCCCCCGTAGCTCAGCAGGTGGGGCTCGTCGCACTGTTGGTGGCCTCGCTGATGGCTCTCGAAGCTCTGCTTGCGGCCCCCGTAGCTCAGCCAGTGGCCCTCGCAGCTCAGCCGGCGGTTCCCGTAGCTCAGCAGTTGGCCCTCGTAGCCCTGCTGGCAGCTGTAGGAGCTCGGCCCGTGATCCTCGTACCTCAGTCTGCGGCACTCGCGGCCCAAGTGGTGCCTCTTGACGTTCCGCTTGCGGCCCTTGGTGCTCGGCTGATGGCATGCGCGGAATGTGTCCGACCACGTGGTATGCGCGGACTGTGTCTCAGTCAGTGCGCGATAAAGAAAGAGAGAAAGAGAGAGAGAGAGAAACAAAAAAAAAGCAGAGACGAGAGAGAGGGGAGAGAGAGACAGTGAGAGAGGAGAGAGGATCCATATAAATATAAAGAGAGAGTGAAAGAGAGAGAGAGAGAGAGAAAGAGAACGAAAGAGAGAGGAGGGAGCGACATACAGGAAACGAGAGAGCTAGAGTGAGAGAGATAGAGAGAACACGCGTATGGCAGGGTACATATATGTAGAGGGAGAAGATATAGGAGAGAGACAGAGATAAGTACGAGTGCCCACATAGATAGAGAGAGAAGGGAGGGAAAAGGATACATATAGAGAGAGAGCAATATATATGTAGAGAGAGAGAGAGACAACAAGCTATAGAGAGAGAGGGAAACAAACAACGCACATATATTTAGAGAGAGGGAGAGAGGAAGACGAACTAAATAACAAACAACACAACAAAACGAGAAGGAGACGAGGTAGAAGGAGGACGGAGCCCGAGGAGGAGGAGGAGGGGGCAGCGGCAATCTGCCTGGAGAGCCAATCCGGTCCTTGAGCCAAGGATGACGGGGAGGAACACGTGGAGGAGAATGCTCAGAGATGCTGCGAAAAAATGTCAATCCCCGAATGGACCCTCTACTTTCCCGTCCGTACTCGTCAAGTTATGCTCGGGGATCTTCTGACCCGGGTCAGTCCAGACCCGGGTCAGCAGGAAACCAAAAACTGCAATGCAGGAAAAAAAAACTGCAACGCAGGTTTTCGCAAACCTGGGTCAGCCAATATGTGCGGCCGCCTCGCGGCCACGAGCGGCTCGCTAACCCGGGTCAGCCAGAGGGGATCTTCGCAGGATCCTGCAGGATCCGGTGCCGTGGCTGACCCCCGTTTGCATTGACCCCCGTCTCAAGGCTCCCGATATGCGATGATTTGCAACTGCCGGTTTCGCTATGCTGGCATGCTGCTATTGCGTGCGGCATCGTTGGACACAGCAGGCTCGCCTCATGTCAGGACACGCATGAGGACAGACGGTAATGGATCAACACCAGGTTTACAATCGGGCGATGGCTGGTAGACACTTGGCCCACATATGGTTTAACACATGACTCGCAAAACTGATTCACAATGAAACGGCAACTCAATCGCATTGTGTCTCATATCTTGGGAGCCCGAGTTATCCGGGGTAACTCGGGTCCGGGGTAACTCGGGTTTGGATTCCCGAAAAAGGAACCCGAGTTATCCCTGACCCGAGTTACCCCTGATGATTCGGGGCTCTGGACGCCCGAGTTATCCGGGGTAACTCGGGTCCGGGGTAACTCGGGTTCGGAATCCCGAAAACCGAACCCGAGTTATCCCTGACCCGAGTTACCCCTGATGATTCGGGGCTCTGAATATCGGCCCATGACCAATTGAGTTACAGCCAATCCAGGAGGCAACATCACGACACCAGGGCACGACACTGCACCACTGCAACACCGCCACGCGACGACACTACGAGACCGCGACGCCACGACAACCGAGCCCAACTCCACTCTAAACTCAACACTCCGTCACATCTGATGTGCACTTAACTCGCAGTTGTTCATACATGATGAATATACAACTGACCAAGGACAATCCTACACCCTAATCGTGACCGTATCAGAAGTATTGCGCAATGCGGCCACAACGTACTCACACATTTCGTCCGCTGAACATCCCCACACCATGTCTGCCACCGCTGGCAAGCCTGGAACGCGGCACAAGCCAACCTCGCAGAGGCGAGCTCGCGCATTGTTGAGCGAACTCGTGCACTGTTAGTAGCGCTCGCGCACTTTTAGACGAGCTCGTACACGTTAACGCAAGCCCGTGCGCTTTTAAGAAAACTCATGTATCTTTGCGCGAATTCATGCATTTTCGGACGTGCTCGTGCGCAAAACACCCACATCCTTTTCGCAGCCTCTCACGATAGGCTCCGCACGCCGTCACCACGACGCCACTGCGCGGCGACACCGTTACACAGCTTTCGCCGCGGCGCCGCGGTGCCGCCACAAACACGCGCGCCGCCCGCCGATGGGAGGAGCAGGAGGACAGGAGTGTGCCGCCAGCCCTACGGGCCATCGCGCTCGCCAGCAGCTTCGCACGCACGTCACGACACAACACAAGAAAGTCGCTACTCTGGTAGGTGCGGCTTTTCGAAGAGGAACAAATAGCATAAGCAAGAACTTTCGGAGTCTCGCGCGGACTTCTTGGATCGGCGCTGGACACCCCTCCCTGGCGCGCGGAGCGCGCCAGGGGCGGCGCCGGAAGCGACGCCAGGGGAGCCCGGCGGAGATCCAAGAACTCCTATCCCTCCGTCGCCCGCCATACGCCCTCCTCCCTCTCCTCCTCCTCCTCCTCCTCCTCCTCCTCCTCCTCCTCCTCCTCCTCCTCCTCCTCCTCCTCCTCCTCCTCCCCTTTTCGTCCTCTCTCCGACCCCACCGCGTCAACCTCCTTCTCCTCCTCCTTCCTTGGAGGAGGGAGGGGCGGCGCCTGACCGTTTCCGCCGAACTCCCCCCCCGTCGTTCGCTTCAGCCGCTCGTGCCTGCCAAGCCTTTGGAGCCCACTACAAACCTGCTCGCTGATGCGCGCTGTGCCGCTGTGCTAGCTGAATCGCGGCGGAACTTGCGGAGGCAATCGTTCAACTGTGAGGGGGGGGGGAAGAAGAGAAATCATTGCAACCATAACCTGCTCTTGAGGGTCGCCCCGACGGCTGCCGCAGAAGCCCTTGAACATTTGAAGCTGCTACATGACCACAGTGTGTTCATCGTGGTGGGGCGCATTTGAGGGGTCAATGCTGATGGTCGATGCTGAAAGTAATGCTAATGATTTTAATGATTGTTGTGACGATGATGATGATGATGATGATGATGTTGATGATGATGGCCATGATGATGATGACGATGATGACGATGATGACGATGATGATGATGATGATGATGATGATGATGATGATGATGATGACGAGGAGGAGGAGGAGGAGATTGAGGAGGGGGAGGGGGCGGAGGAGGACGAGAATGATGCTAATGGGAACCGAGCTCGAAGCGAGCGCCACGCGCGCCGAGTGCGCCAAACAAGCGAGGAGGCGGCCCAAAGACCCAAACGAGCATCGCGGCCAGGGCGTCCGCTCCGCGTCCAACTGGAGATGACTGCGCACATTACTCACACGCAAACTGGTCACGCGAGCATTTGCCATGCCAGAAGTTCGTCGCCGACATCGATGGCACGATGGACTGGAATCGCGCCAGTTAGGGCCGGAGGAATGAGAGCCTCGCAAGAACCAATCCAAGCGCTGCCGCGTGTTCGGCTGGAGATGGAGGTCGCGCGGGTCGCTGGCAGCAAAAGGCCACCACAGGTCGCGCCTTGCGTATAGCATCCACACGATGTGCACACCACGAAACCGCCCGCGACCCTGAGTCTATGCCCAAGGCACGCCTCGGGCGGCACGGGGGGAAGTGGCGCGGCAGGTGGGGCCACCGAATACGCGCGGGGCTGCCCCCCCCCCCCCCCTGGATCTCCTGGGTTTGGGCGCCGCATGGTGCCGCAGTCCCTGGCGGGCCCGCAAGCCTGGCCCGCGGCCGACTGGGCGCGAGAGCTCCGTGGAACCCGCCAGTCGCATGATGGGCCTGTTTTCCACCATCACCACCACTATGAGTTGGAGTGGAGGAGAAGGAGGAGGAGGAGGAGGAGGACGAGGAGGAGGAGGAGGAGGAGGAGGAGGAGAAAGAGGAGGAGGAGGAGGAGGAGGAGGAGGAGGAGGAGAAAGAGGAGGAGGATCGATCGATCGAGCTATTGGGCCGATGTCGTGGTGACTGCTGCTCTAGCTACGCTGAGTACCAGTGGAAAATTAGCTCGGCCTAGCTGAGTTCACTTTCTGCCTGGGGGAGCAGGCGCTAGAAGGCGCTCGGGCCCTACCCGCACCGTATACCCCACGCGGGGGCCTCTGGGCGGGGTGGCACCCGCCCTCACGGGTGCCCTCTCGCCAGTTGCGGCCGTGCCTATTGCGGTTGCTTGCCTCGTTGCGAAGAGGAGGAGCGCCGAAAGACAGGGAGCTACAGCTACTATCTGACCCTCTGTCGTTAGTGCTGCAGTGACCGCGCCATTCTCGTCTAACTCGGAAACGCGGATTGTCTTCCAGTTCTCTACCAACTGGCCGACTAGTTCTACGATAGTCTGCTGCAGCCAGGTCCGAGTAGCCGCATGTCCAGTCTTCAGTTTTTCGGTGACCAGGTCATAGGCTAGATCCGCCACGCGCCCGAGAGTCACGTCCTTCTAATCCTTGTCTCCCAGCTCGTCCGTGGTGGAGTCGATGTCGTTCTGGCCCTGCTTCTTGCGATCGTCGTTCCCCCCGAGATTGATCATCTCGCCCCCTGACTTTGACGTGTGGTAGTGCTTCGGTGCCTCGATCTCGGTGCGATGAGGTTCCTCGGGCACGTCCTGCTTGAGGCGTCTGCAGAACTGTTCGTAGATCTTCGTGTAGTCGTCCCCCTTCTCGGCGATCTCCGCGAACATCTCCAGGCAGTGCTTCACGGACACGTAGTGGAAGGCGTACTCCTCGTTGGTTACGTCCTTCGCCTTGTGCATCCACCACAACGGCTTGTTCGCGATGAGCTGCTTCCGCTCGTGCAATGCCTCCTTCATCTTTCGTTCGTTCTCCTTGTGGCTGCGCTGGTCGTCGCCGTCCACATCCGTCTCGTAGATCGTCTCGTCGGCGTCCACGTCCGTGACGGGCTTCTCGTCCGCCATGCGCGAAAGAAATGTGGGCGGTTCGGTGCCTGAGATCTCGTCCCCCGCCTTGCGCATCCACAGCGGCTTGTTCGCGGTGAGCTGCTCCCACTCGTGCAAAGCCTCCTTCATCTTCTTCTCGTGGTTGTTCTGGTCGTCGCCGTCCATGTCCGTCTCGTAGATCATCTCGTCTGCGTCCTCGTTCGTGAAAGGCTTCTCGCTCACGTGGTCTTCCCAGTCGTTGGACAGGGACTTGTAGTAGGGGGCGTACTCATCGTTGGTTACGTCCTCCGCCACGTGGCGCATCTCCATGGACTGGCAGGCCGTGCGCGCTATGTGTAGGCGTAGTCGTCTGTCAGCGCGCCGCCGCGCCTGGGAGCCTCCTTGCAGGGGGTGCCTCAGCCCAGGCGGGGCGGGCACTCGTGACGCGGCGAGAGAAGGCATCCATGTCATTGCTGCCGTGCGGGCCTTCCGCCCAGGTTACTATCTCCTCATGCTGAGTAATAGCTGTGTGTTCGCGCTTGCTGCCTTGACAATCTCGTAAGCCCAGATGGCAGCTAGAGGAGGAGGAGGAGGAGGAGGATGAGGAGGAGGAGGAGGGGGAGGAGGAGCGCGCGCGGACCGCACGCCACCAGCAAGAGGCAAGCCTCGAGCTGGTGGTCCAGTTCAGGCAAGGCCCAGCTCACGCAAGGGCGTGGGCCGAGCGAAAGGGGGCCGCCCCGCCTGCCTGGCCTCGTCGCTCACCAGCCTCCTCAGCGCCGAGAGCACCAGGAAGATGCACACGTGTGCGGCGGGGGAGGGGGAGGCGACGGGCGACAGACGACGGGGGCAGCCCAAGAAAACAAAAACGAGTTTAGTCAGAGCCCGAACTCGCTCCATCAGGAGCAGGTTCGGGCCCACGGGCCGCTTCCAGCAGCCTCAAAGAAATGGAAACACGGCGGAACTCCGCGCGGTCATCGTCGCGCTCGGCGGCGTCAAGAGCAATCTTCACGCCCGTCTTGGGGTAACACCCACGCTCCAGCCGACGGATGGACATTCTCTGATTAGCAGCCGTGCTCGGGACTTTGGATCTTCCTTGGCATTGCTGCGTGAGGTTTCGCAGCGAGCCGAGAGAGCCATGAGCCCCGCACAGCTTGCAACAGTACACATGTAGGTGACGAAAAACGTCGTGCCCAAGGTCCCGAAAGGCAGAAAACTCATCCGACGGCTCGGGCTCAGCCACGGGAGTTGGGGGACCTTGGACCTCATCAGTGCACACACGCTGAACTTCGTCAGCGGCAGCCAGAGCAACCCTCACCGCTTCCAGCTGCACGGGCCTAAACGCAGCCCCAAACTCACGAAACCACTGGTCGCACACGTGTCGCTGGATCGGTGACGGCATACAGTCACGAGTGTCTCTACTCGTGAGCAGGCTCTTAAGTGACTCCGACGTGCGAGCAACACGGCCACAGCTCCTGCACTTATAGGTGCTGGTGGCCTCACAGCGAAACAACACATGGCTAGTGACCGTGACCTTCGGAGGGGCAGGGGCTCTCAAGAGGCGGAGGGAACGATCAGGGTCAACTTGCGTCCATGTGCCAGACTCGAGCAGCCGTTGGGCAGCCCATGCAATGAATCGCACCGTGGATTTATGATATTTTAAATCCCCTGACACAGCCGCGCAAAAACCCTCAGAAAGCGTGTGAGAGCCGGCCCCTAGTTTGGCGAAAAAGTCAGCCCACAGATTCCCAGCCCAACTTTTGACACACAGACCACGCTCCAACACGTCATCGAAACTCAGATGGGCTGGGACCCATGAGAACTGGGGGTGATTTGACTTAAGATCAAATATGGACCTCCAGATCGAGGCATGCTTGGACATGCCTTGGGAGAGATGCTGGCTCCAAGAATTGCCTTCTCGCACAACAGCCTGGAGGTCCGATACAATACTCTGATGCTGCGGGTGAAAAGCCAGCCCCTGCCGCACAGCCCAGCGTTCTGCACGACCTATGGTCTGACGCTCACCTGGGGGCGCTCCATATACGGCCCTCAGGGGAAGCAAACAATCAAATAACTGCACAACGCTCCAACCAGCTCTGGAGACCTCTGGGACCCCAGAGTGATAGCAACTACCATCAGTGAAAGACTGAGGGCCCCAGGACCCAGAGACGTCCCCAAACTCAAAAACAGGTGGGTTGGCTAGCGGAGCGGGGATGTTGGTAGGCAAGGGAGGAATGCCATAAGTTAAATAATTAGAGTGCACATCGGGTTCCCCAGTTATAGAGGCCCGAGACTGGATCAACACGCGCCTATGCCTAGCCAGGGCCTCAGGAACCTCGTCACCCAAAGCGTCAACCCCGTCGTCGGTGATGAACTTAGAGCAGGCATACCACACGTGTCCGTACGTGCCTTGAGGAGCGGAGCAGGCAAGGCACTCAGGTAGCCCATCATATTGCAGAGCAGACAGTGCAGCAGGTAGCGGAACCACATTCCCCCAGACGGCAGCAAGGGCCCCAAGAGCACGCGGGTCTTTTACGGCACGTATACCATGACGAAGTGCACGAAACCAAGGCTCCCCTTCTGGAGGGTCAGTGTTATAGAGGTGCTGCTGCAACCGACGTATCTGCCACCGCTGCACCCCTTCGATAATCGCAATTCGCACATCACTGGGACACACCACCAGCAGCGAAATATCTGTACCAAGATCGCTGCGAAAAGTGTGGGCATTGACCATCGTCCAGCCTATGCGAAGCAGGCTGAGCCACACCGCCGACAGCGGACCACGAGCCTGCTGCCAAGTAGGGTTGTCGGACATGATATCTCTCAAACAGGTCCACGCACGTTGAAGCCTCGATATCTGAACCCTTCCGTCCCAGACGAACGTGGCGAACTTGACGCCCACGCAAATAGTGGAGTCGTAGATCGGGTCGTATAGCGGATCGGCCTGCGTCAGCAGATACGACGTGATGCCACCGTGCTGCTTGGCACCTGCGATCGTAGCCGCAAGCTGCCTCAAATACTTCAGCGCCGTGTCTGAAATGCCCGACACGGAACCACCGTGCCCAGCCGCTGGGAAAGCTCCAGTCCTCCAAAGTCGGGTTGCACGCTTGCCAGTTGCATGTTTCAGTGCAATGAACTTGTCACGGCGACGTTTAAGAGCATGTAGCCTTTTCTTCTCCTGAGTGCGAACAACCCGACCAGCAGCTAATTCATGCCCGAGATTTCTCATCCATTTACGAACAGGTAGATGCAGCCGAATAGCCATCTTCGAGAAAACCTTCCGAGCAACCTTGTTCCCTGCTATGAGCCCCGACTTTTTGACCTGGGAGTAAAGCCCGAGAACCTTGGCATCTTCGGTGAACACTTTCACGGCACGCTCCAGGAAACGCACATCACGAGGATCCGAGGTGACGAGCTGAATCGAGATGTCGTCGACGAGGGCTCTCGGTGTTATACAGGGCGAAATGTCATTGAGTCTACGCACAGCACGCAGCGTGAGAAGGAAAAGCATGCCTGTCGCATGATTGCACCCAGCAAGGATGCCTTGATGCGAACAGAACTGCAGCGACAAGCTGCCGAAAGCTCGAAGACGCCGTGGCTGCCTGTACAGATCCACCAGCATCCAAGCTAGCCGCATTGGAAAGTGTAACGCTTCAGCCTCTTTCAACAGCTGCTCCGAGTGAACCATTTCGAAGCATTTGATCATGTCTAAGAGGACAGATATTGAAATATCACCGACTAGCGCTGCCATTTCGGCAGCAATGTTGTGGGCAAACGCACTGTCTGAGGAACTGTGCCCACGACGAGTACCCCAAACAGCGTAGCAGTCATTGCGCTCTTGCCAGTCGAAGGTGATGGGCTTACGAACTTTGCCCCAGACACGGCACAGCAGCGAAACGAGAGCGATCAGACGAGTCCCACCATCTGGTTTGGCAAGACGGCACATCTCATTACAGACACGCTCTCTAGGCCAGGCTAAGTGCAGCTCGCACAGGTTAAAGAGTTCAGCAATCGCCGAAAAGGCCGGCCTAGGCAAATGGATTAAAGCTCTCGGATGAATACCCATCATGCCTCCAGCAGTGCGAGTGGGGTAAGTGTGAACAGCATCCTCCACCTGAGCGGCCGTGATGGGCGGCAGCATGGGCCAGCTGGTGGACCCTCGGGGAGACTCAAGAGCGGAGCAGCCGTGGGTCAACCAAACCTCCTTCCAGGGTTCAAGTTCAGCATCGGCCTGCTGGTGGGGTGCCTCTCGCGCCTGGTTGCTTAAAACCTCTTGGATGGCCTTCACTTTTGAGAACCTGTGAGCCTTCGAAGCACCAGCAGAAAAGGCGCCCCTAGCCCATTGCCTCCAAGCCTGGGACGCCGCATTCTCCGCACGAGTGACAGCTGCCTTCGCGCGAGTGTAAATAGTAGTGAGCATGCTGGCCACATCAGGACGTGCGAGGACGGCGAAGCCGCCATTGAAGAAATCTCGCACATCCGAGTCGAGGCAACCCAAGACTTTTTTGCAGCGGGCGATGTTGGCCATAAAACGATCGAACTCATCAAATGCAGTGAGAAGCTTGCGATATTGCAGGGGCGCAAGCGAACACAGAACACCGTTTTCTTGCATTAGCCTAATTTGCTCACTAAGATGTTCTCTGGCCTTGCCTAAGTGTTTGGCCCAACCAAGAGCGACAGCCCAGGCACGTGCCTGCGGATCCTTATAAGTCCTCCTTCTGGGGGGAGTCCAGACAAGCTTTTTGAAGTGGACCTCCAGAGGCCCGCTGCGGCCAACATAGGCCTCGGCGGCTAAGCCAACACGGTCCCACCTGGCAGCCAACTCTCTTTCCACCCCTTCGAGGACGAGGTCCCAAAAATCGGCGACCTTGGCTACAGAATCAACTTGCGGGGCGGCGGTCGACAAAACCGCGTGCCACGGGTAGATAGGAGGTCTAGCACAGCCTATGGGAGGGGTAGACGGGAACGCTTTCGGGACCTTGGCCACCCGAGCCCAAACCGGGGCCTCCCGAGCCCTCAAAGTAAGCTGGACGGGGAGGTGAGGGTAGGTGGTAGCAGCCTCCAACACACACGTGCGGGGGTTAAGCTTTGGCGCAAGCCAACTGCTACAAATAAAATAATCGATGTGCGTGCCAGGTGAAACCTGCCTGCAGGTGGGCGCCTCAGAAACGAAAGCCAGTCCGCCAGCAGCCGCGATCCAGTCGGACTGGTCCAGGGCAGCGAGCGGCATGTTGAAATCGGCGCCGATGACCCACGGGATCTGCATGCCGTTGAGCACTGAGAGGTACTCGATAATCTCCCACACCAACTCGGCGTTGCACGGTCCATATCCTTCGCCGTCCTTGAGATAAGCCGACAGGAAGACGACACCGCCAGGCAGAAAAGACATGACGTGTGCAGCCACAAGCCTGCCAGGGACAAGGACGTGACTAGCGCAGCCAGGGGGCGCCTTGATAGGAATATGTGACCTGACCAAAACTGCAACGCCGCCTGTGGTGCCAGGCCCTCCATCCTGATTGGGCACGGCGGGGCCCCAGAGCCCTCTCCAGCCAGTATCTTCAACTTGCGACTGTCGCTCGCCAAGCTTGGTATCAGGAACATGGCGCTCTTGCGCAAGCACCACATGAGCAGTGCTGTCCACAAGGTAGTCGCACAGTGGACCCAGCGAGCTGGAGTTGAGCGTCACGATATACGAGTCGCTTTTGCCCTTCGCCTGGCCAGCAACCTTGACATCAGGTCGACGAACCCCTGGGCAGTCGGTACCCTCTGCCACGCGTTGCCCATCGGGCGAGCGGGGTGAGCAGTGCGTGCTGCCAGGGCCTAAAAGATTCATGCCATCGGAACAACCAGCAGTAGAGCCAGCCACCCTCGTCGAGCAAGAGGCCGATATCGTCAAAGCAATAGGCGCACATGTGGCGCTCTCTGCCTGCCACCTGGTGACAGGTGAGTGTAGCGACCGAGACGATGACGTAGCACCCGCAGTCGCAGTGGCCGCCCTTGCAGAAGACGCAGAAGGGGCAACCTGGTCGCATGTGACTGGCAGTTATGGCTGACTGTCAGATGCTGCATCAAATTCAAAAGGAACAACATCAGGATCGTCCATGAGAGAACGTCTGGGAGCTGAGGTCAGCTCATCTTGGGCAGTAGGCGTCGTCATTGCACTAGGGTAATGGCATAGAGAGAACAAAACCACAGCGAACCACCCAATCACTTTACGCAGCGGTCTTGCCACTGGTCTTGAACTTCTTCGTAAGCGATTGAACTTGTGCCAAGTGACGCTTGAGCTCATCACGAAGCTCTCGCACCTTGGGCTCATCAAGCTCGTCGTCTTCACCGCCCACGTCGACATCAATGCCACATTCTTTGAGATGTTCACGGCATGTGCGACCATCCAGGCCATCAACGTGAGCATTAGCACGAGCCTGATCCTCAGCATCGTCGACGTCCATGGGTGCTCGAGCCTCAGGAGGAGCGGTGTGAGCCTCAGGCTGTGGAGCAGACGGTTCGGGTGCAGCAGTGGCCTCTGGGGCTTCCTTGAGCTTCTGAACCAGCGCGCGCATGGCGATGAGGTCGGTGCTGAACCGCTCCGACCCGCCCAACGCACGGACAACGGCGTCGAACTGCTCGACCGTGGCCTCCATGCCTGGCAGGAAGGTGGACAGGGAAGGTGCCTTGTCATCAAACTGCACGGCAGGGACGACCACATGGCGCAACCGCTCCTCAAGTTCCACGATGTGCTTGTTAGCGTCCTGCTCGTCCTGCTCGACCTGCGCAAGGGCCTGCTTGGCCTTCTCCAGGGTAGAGCGAGCAGCCTCCTTTTTGACAGCCAGATTGGACAGCTTCGTGCGAGCAGTCTTGAGCTGGCTGGTGAGCCCCTGCAAGTTGGCCTCCAGCGGTTTGTCGGCCTGCAACTCAGCCTGCAGGCGCTGCTTCTCGGCCTCGAACACCGCACGCTGCTCGGCGTCCTCAGGCCCCGACAGGAGCTCGAGCAGACTTCCAAGCTTGGTGAGGCGCTCACGTTTGACAGCAGCGTCAGTGCCTTTAGCCCAGGGAGGGATCGCAGGCTCCTTGGGCTCCACAACCGTACCATTTTGACTGACAACCATCTTCTGCACGCGCTGCTGCAATTCTTCCAACTGCTTCGTGAGAAGCTTTTCACGCTTCGTGGCCATGTCGTGAGACCGCTGGACGGGGACCTTGGGCGGAGGGACACCTTGGAAAGCTGAGCCTTTCGGGATGCCACACTTGCCACACCACTTCTGATCGCCACGATTGATCCAGCTCGTGCCAGTGGGCTCATGCTTGCACCATTTACAATACCATGGGCCTGCCTCCGCACTGCGCGACCTGGGAGCCATGCCGACGGGCGGATGAGCAGACCGAGCGCGCACACGAGACACCACGCGAGGCCTGACAGGCGGGCCGTGGCGGGGCTGGGCCGTGCGGGGCGGACCGCACAGCGCTCTGCCTGGGGCGAACCAGGCGAAAACGTTGAAGACTGCCGCGGTAACAGCGGCATCCAGTTTGGCACAAGGGCGCGGAGCCCTTCAGTGCAGAAGTCTTGAGCCAAAATGGCTACGGAGGAGGAGGAGGAGGAGGAGGAGGAGGAGGAGGAGGAGGAGGAGGAGGACCCCCTCCCCCTCCAACCTATGGTGGTGGTGGTTGAGAACAGGCCCATCAGCGCAGGCGGTGGAAATCCAGCCGAGCCCTCCGCAGGGGTGTGAAGGCCCAGTAAAGCGACCGGCGTGCTGACCCCCCCCCCCCTTCGCGACAGGAGGTGCGTCGCGCATTCGTCGCCCGTGCGCCGCCCGTGCGTCGGCCGCCGAAAAGGCCAGCGCCATGGAGCTCGGGAATGCCAGAGCCAGCCGATTCCGCGGGCCCGGCACCTCCGGAGAGCCGCACGGCGCCGGCCAGAGGCGCCAGCCAACAGGGCGCCTCCGACCGCGCGCCGGCGCGGGAGCTCCAGGGAGATCCGCGCCAGCCCCGCCCGAGCCGTGATCCGTCGACGGAGCTCCTCCCTCCTCCTCCTCCTCCTCCTCCCTCCTCCTCCTCCTCCTCCTCCTCCTCCTCCTCCTCCTCCTCCTCT